GAATGGAGAGCGGCTTTTTGCACACGTTTCATACTGAATTGGGCTATCAGATCTCAGCTACAAAAATGTAGACCATGAAACGGCATGCAATATATATTTACAGATATAGTGAATATACAGACTATTGCAATATTTATCTATTTTTTAAGACAGCTCTTTGCTGCTCTCTAGTGGCCATCTGAGATCTTGCAGTCAGGATCCGTTGTTTCTCGACCTCAGCAGCTTTAATTGTGTGGATTTGAACTCCCAGAATTCCCAGGTCAGCATGCCTTGGCTGGGGAACGCTAGGAGTTGAAATCCACATATCTTAAAGTGGCTGAAGTTAGAAAGTGCTGTTAATATAATCCCTAGTAAACTTTCCTTCTGTTTGTTGATACAGATTCAGCTCTGGATTCCAGATTCCTCCAAATTGTTGAGGACAATGCAATAAACTGGAATCTAGCCTGCACACCTCTGTTCCAGGACATAATCCCTCCACTAAAGCAGCATAATTCTTATCCTTCCTGTCCCAACATGTTATTAGTACAGGCGTTGGCTTACGAACATTCGTTTAGCAACCATTCAAAGTTACTGAAATTAGTGAATTATGACCAGACTTTTTATTCACAACTGTCACAGTGTCCCCTACGGTCACGTGATCGCAATGTGGGCACTTGGCAACCAGCATGTATTTAGGATGACTGTAGGATCCCCAGAGTCACGTGATCTCCATTTGTGACCTTCCCGGCTGGCTTCCCACAAGCAACGTCCATGTGCAAAGCTGAATTTGCTTAACAACTGTAGCAAAAAAGGGCAGACATGGTCATGTGCTGACTCATTTAGCGATGGACGTTCTGGTCCCAGTCGTTGCCGTAAATCAAGGACTACTTGCATGCATTGAATAATAGCATTGGGCAAATAAACCCATATGGAAACCTCTGTTGTTTTCCATTTTCCATTCTTGCTTAGCCTAAGAGACAACACACTTTCCTTCTTCCTAGCTGCGTACAGACCCCCAATCTTATAAACATCCTGCAGAGGTAGATGGAGGGGCTTGCTAACAGGGTGGGAAGAAGGGATGATAGAATCCAGAGCTTCCAACAAGGTGGTCCCAGAAGCAGTGCCCTCCTCCCTAGTGATGCTCCAGCCCTTGGACCAAGGCATCTGCCAAAGAAACAGAAAACTGGCTGCAGAGATGTGAATACCCACACAATACCCTGGAGAAATCTGACACCACACAGTTAAGCAATATTGCTGCCAAATATAAACCAGAGGCTTCCAAGATTTCAGGGAGTGAGCTAAATACAGTACCTTGCTTGCTCTTACACTACATTAGTTAACAGCTGATTTGGTTACAGATGTTACTAGAATATACTGTTTTTCAAACCTGTCAACTTTGAGATGGGTGGGCTTTGACTCCCAGAATTCCCAAGCGAGCCACGCTGGCTAGGGAATTCTGGGAGTTGAAGCCCACCCATCTTAAAATTGACAAGTTTGAAAAACACTGCTTTAAACACAGGAAACTCACATCTTAAAGTTGACACACGTGTGTGTGTAAAGTCCACACATCTTAAAGATTACAAGTTTGAAAAACACTCCTATAACACAAGGAAAAAAATATTTTAAACACAAGAAACACTACTTAAAGCCAGGGAGTGAGAGGAACAAGGAGTCCGTAAACTACTCACATTGCTGTTGGGCTCCAACAGGTTACCCCCATGCCTGCCACTGATGGGCACCAAGGCGACAGTAGCCGGAGTGTAGCCAATCTTCTTAATGTTGACGCTCACTTCCTTGATGATTTCCTGATAGCAGGCATTGCTGTAAAGAGGCTTTGTGGGATCCACTTTATAATGCCTTGGTAAGGCCACATTTGGAATACTGCATCCAGTTTTGGTCACCACGATGTAAAAAAGATGCTGAGACTCTAGAAAGAGTACAGAGAAGAGCAACAAAGATGATTAGGGGACTGGAGGCTAAAGCATACAATATAAGGAACGGTTGCTGGAATTGGGTATGTCTAGTTTAAGGAAGAGAAGGACGAGGGGGGACATGATAGCAGTCTTCCAATATCTCAGGGGCTGCCCCAAAGAAGAAAGAGTCAAGCTGTTCTCCAAAGCGCCTGAAGGCAGGACAAGAAGCAACGGGTGGAAACTAATCAAGGAGCGAAGCAACCTAGAACTAAGGAGAAACTTCCTGACAGTTAGAACAATTAACCAGTGGAACAACCTGCCTCCAGAAGCGGTGAATGCTCCAACACTGGAAGTTTTTAAGAAGAGACTGGACAGCCATTTGTCTGAAATGGGATAGGGTTTCCTGACTGAGCAGGGGGTTGGACTAGATGACCTCCAAGGTCCCTTCCAACTTTATTATTATTATTCAATTATCTTGTTTACTCCAATGATTAATTGCTTCACCCCTAGAGAGTAGGCTGAGAGGGCGTGTTCTCATGTTTGCCCATTGTTGGAGATGCCCGCTTCAAATTCACCCTCACCTGCAGCCACAATTGGAACAGCACAGTCAGCCTAGACAGAAATACCAAAATCAGATGATTTGCATTGACCGCCAGGGTCTTGGCAAAAGGAAAGAAACGGTTTACATTGTCTTTTTTATGTTCTTGGCTGACAGTCCTGCTGTTGCCTGTGGTCTCATATCCAAATATTACCCAGATTCAGTCTTGTTTAGTTTCCAAGACCAGCTGAAGTCTGCTACCTCCTCAGGCAACGTAAACTTAATTAAGTTTATTTCATTTCCATATTTGCAATTCAGTTTTCCTCCCAGTCCAGGTGGTCCTTACCACCTAGTCTGAATTTGATTTCAATCCTTATGTTTTCTCCTGGCTTCTCACCAAAGTCCAGGCTCCGGATCAGCCCTTCAAGACAGACCAGACAATTTATATTTAAAGTTTAAGATATTTTTTAGATATTTTCTTTTTTTTTTTAATTTCTTATTTTTTTTATTTTTTTTCTCCTTTTTCTTGTTTCTTTTCTTTTTCTCTTTCTGCTTTCTAAATATTGGTGTTAAAATATTTTATAATTTGTTTAATTATTGTAATCAAATTTGTATATGGTTTGTGTTTAAAACTTTTTCTTTTAAATTTTAATTAAGCCTGTATTCAGCTCTGGGAAGGTTGGGGGAGGGTGGGTTGGGAGGGTTTGGGGAAGGGAACTTTTTTGTAAAATTTAAAAAAAATTTCAAAAAAAAAAAAAAAAAGACAGACCAGACAAGAGGGAGAATCTTCCATTCACAAAGTGGACAGACACACTAATTCTTGCAATGGAAGAATGGATGATCAAGGTGATGGAGTTGGGGGAGATGACCAAACTGACTGTTTTAATTAAAGAAAAGAGTTTATCTAGTTTTTGTCTCTACTTACAAGGCCCTTCTGTATTTTTTTTACTCAAAATTGAAAAAAAAAACAACCTGAAACTTTAGATTTTGATTCTTAGAATGATTTTGTAATTTTAGAAAGGGCTCGAATTGTTGTAAAATATAAAGCAAAAGATTGATGTTGTATTCATTTCGTAATTTAGTGCACCGAAGAAAGTCAGAAGTCATTACTTTTTCCTCTCTTTGCATTTTTTCTTCTTTCTCTTTAATTTCTTCTATATTGTATCATGTAATAAAAGTTAATAAAAAATAAATAAAATGCAAGCAGTCCTTGACTTACAACCATTCATTTAGTGACTGTTCAAAGTTACAATGGCAACTGAAAAAAGGGTCTTTTAACCATTTTTAACCCAGCCTCACACAAAGATAGCCTGCTGTCCTCCTTACCTTTCTCCATAGACCAATCTTGGTGATCCAATATTGAAGCCTACCTTCACACTGTGGTTTTAAAGACCTTTTTAAGGGTGAATTGAAACCCAAAACCTTTCTGATCATTTAAAACAGTGGTTCTCAACCTTTTTAATGCCGCGACCCCCAACCGGTCATAAGTCAAGGACTACTCAACTGGTCGTAAGTCGAAGACTACTCAACTGGTGCAGCACCGTTTGCAGAATGGGACTTTTGGCGGGCTCAGCAGGGCAGAGACAGCCTGGACAATTCCTATTGGCTTTTGAAAGCCAATAGAATTAGACTCTATTCAAGAGAGTCTATTCTATTGGCTTTCAAAAGCCAATAGAATAAAAGGGAGTAGCACAGCTAAGGAAAAGGGGGAAAAAATGGCGGACTGCGTTGTTTGGCGACCCCCGTGAAATGGTCGTTCGACCCCAAATGGGGTCCCGACTCACAGGTTGAGAACCACTGATCTAAAATAACCTTATAGCTGCCCAGAGTAAGAATGAGATTCTAGAGAAGGAATTGAGAGAAGAACGTTAATGCAATAGAAGCCCAGAAAACTCTGGATTCCTCTGGAATATTCTGTCCCCTGAAACCATAAAAACTACAACCATCAATATTCTGGGTTCCCCTGTCACATAGAGTTGAAATGGACTTGTAAACTGTTACGTCCGTGAAACGAGGGTGAATGAAGAGGACACATCTCTTGTACAGCAACTCTCTTTATTGTACTTCCTTCAAAACTCCAACAACCTCAGAAGCACGCAGGCCTCCTTTTATATGCCCAGATCCCCGGACAACATGGTTACATAATGAGGCACTTTTCGTGCCTTGCGCATGCGCGCAAAACCAGCGCCACTCAGTCTGGTCCCGGGCAGCTTTTGCAAGCCCTGGACTCATGCAATGTCCCGAGCCTGCAATTGCAGGCTCAGAACACAACATAAACCATGGTTCATGGTCTTTGGGGGGCAGAATTAATTAACTGCTTCTTCCTTCAGGAAAGGCTGCTTGATCCCAGAACAGCACAATGTAATGTAGGGGTCTCATCAAAGACACAGTTTACTCCACATGCTAAAGTAAGCCAAACTTGAAGGAGTGCAGGATGGCGTAGTGATGCAATACGTGAAGTCAGTCCCTTGGTCAAAATGGAGGCAACCTTGCCCATTTCCTGACGGTTGAAGTGGAATGTTTGCTCCCTAAAATTCTCAGGGGTTGGAGCGTGTCTGTTGAAAATAGGCAGTTGGTGAGGCAGTTGGTATAGGACGAGTCCTGTGCCTTAAACACGTTGGATTTGGGAAAGACAAATCACCTGTGCAAGAATCCAAGATCTGGACCAATTTCCTTCTCTAGGAATAAGTACATTAATGGGTGTTAATAGCATCTCAATCTTTTATTATTGTCTTACAAGATAACATCCTTATCTTGCTTCAGGATGGGAACTAAAACATAGATTAAAGAACCAGACTGATTTTGTATTTTAAGTCCTGAAACTTGTAAGCCCTTAATATAATTAGACTTAGCAAAGCTCCTGGCTATATGGCAAATCGTTATTATTATCATGATCATCCTAATTTATCTTGTAGCTGCTTTTTTTCCTAAGAAAAGCTAAAGTACTGTATGCGCAAAGTCCAATAGGATAGTCTCCAATAGACTATCCTAGACTCCAATAGACTCCAATATTTATAAAAAGAATATGAAGACCATGAAAACAATTAAAATTCAACTTGTACAGAGTCAGTTCTAGAATAGAGAATCATTTAAAATGATTCTAAATTGCAAAGGAGGAGAAACAGGAAGACCTTTGTGGATCTTTTAGTAGGTATCTGTGGTTTTGTTTACCCCAGATGCAGACAGGAGCCCCACAAGGTGTCAAAATAGTCAAGAAAGTGGCTGTTTGTATTCTCAAAGTACAACAGCCCCCCCCATTTTTAATGTGCATCACAACAATGTAAAGTTGACATATCAATTGCATAACCACAGCAGCCACCTTAATTTTGTCTAGGCGGTTTGGAGGTTACAGAGGGATTTGAAATCATTCTCGTAAAGAAAGGTGATATTGAGCTATTAATCTAACCCAGTGTTTCTCAAACAGGAAATTTTAAGATGGGTAGACTTCAGTTCCCAGAATTCCCCAACCAGTTTGTTTGCGAAGCACTGTTTTAACCCTTTGTGAGCATGCCATGCCAAAAGGGTTTGTGCTTCTAAGATTTAATTCTGTCACTAAACCAGGGGTCTTCAAACTTGGCAACTTTAAGACTTGTGGACTTCAACTCCCAGAAGTCCTCAGCCAGCCAGCCAGCCAGGGTTGGCTGAGGAATTCTGGAAATTGAAGTCCACAAATCTTAAAGTTGCCAAGATTGAAAACCCCTGCACTAAACCATTTTGGATCTTGGGCTGAGGGAGGGGCAACTTCCCCAGAAACCCCCAAGGAGCTTCTGTGGCTCAAGAAGAGCACGAATCTTGGTTTGTGCTCTCCAGATTAGCTCCTTCAGCCCCACATCGTGCTGGCTCTCTTCTCACGCTGGCTTTGTAATTGGCAGTTCTGTTCTTCCCACACTATACAGGTTCTGATCTCATTTTCCTCTCTTTGTCCTCCTCCCTACCCTCCCCTGATCAGGAAGGACCAGAAGATGGAGAAGATGCTTCAGAATGAGAACCGAGGGAGAATCTGCAGCAAGGACCAAGAGATGGAAGGATATGGCTGTTGTGCTCCATTGCTTCCAGCTCAAATGCCTAATGATGGCAATTGGCATAGTCCTAAGATGTCTACAACCTCAAAGCCAGACCATTTAGAGTATCCTCACACACCAGTTCCTTGGCCCAAACAAAGACCAAGCAGATTCAGTCACAAGCCTATAGGTGTGTATCTCCTGCTTTGGTTTCTTTGTCTCTCCCTCCCTCCCACCATGATAAGCACAGATGAGGTTTCTGGAGCTTGATGTTTCTGTTTTTTTTTCTTCTTGTGCGAGTTCATTTCTTGTCCATCTTAATGAGTTCAATCAATGTCAGACCCAAAGAACCAAGAAAGACACCTGGTGATTCTTCCAAGCTGAGTTCTTTATTGTTTCCACACCTGTAGACAGAATCTTGCCAAACTGAAACAAGCTATCTGCATCTACAATGTACTCTGGGAACGATTAGGGAAGTGCTATCTTCATGCTCTTTCTCTCACACAAAACATGCAGACTGAGTTCTCTCTTATTCTTCTGGAATGCACCTCCTTTTTTGGGAATCCCTTTGACTACATTCCATCACAATCAACCCTTAATGGTCCTTGGCTACATCCCTTCTCATTCCCCAAATGTAGTGTGGAAAATGTACAGAAGTGAGTTGCATGCCTCCCCAGAAGTGAGACTCTCAGACTTCGTGATGGGAATGGATTGTAGTGGGCTCATGAAAAGAGATGTCAAAGGCTGGATTAATTCTACTTGGCAGGCTAGCTGGGCCTGTCTGCATACTCTCTCCATCACCCAAATGTTGTTGTTGTTAGTTGCAAAGTTGTGTCTGACCCATCGCGACCCCATGGACAACGTTCCTCCAGGCCTTCCTGTCCTCTACCATCTTCTGGAGTCCATTTAAGCTCACGCCTACTGACTCCATCCAGCCACTTCCTTCTCTGTCATCCCATTCTTCTCTTGCCCTCAATCTTTCCCAGCATCAGGCTCTTCTCCAGTGAGTCCTTCCTTCTCATTAGGTGTACCCAAATAGGTACATCCAAACCTAAAACGGACTACTTGTTTCCAAGGATGCTCTCTTTGCAAGGACTCTGATTCAGTGGCAGCTGCTCTTGGATCTTCTCCTTCATCGTGGTAAGTGTGGGATGGGAAGTAGAGAAATAGAGATCCATCTATCTCACCACTTTTATTCCAGCAGGTGAAGGAAAGAAGCTTTCTCTCACCACCTCCACAAAACGATCAGAAAGACTAGCAGCCTCAGCAGCTGCGGCTGTGGGAAGCGGAGGCCACCAAGTGCAACAGGCCGAAGACATTGTGAAGGCGAAGAAGGCCAAGACTTTGCACCCAGGGCATTCAGATAAAGTCAAAGCGGTGGATGTTGTTGAGAACTTCATAGCCCACTTCCTCATTTACCTGCATGAATGTCCAGACAGACCTGGCTTCAAGGATACCAGAGAACTGATCCCAGGAGATAATTATGCATACGAACAGGTACGGACAGCAATGTTAGACACAGAAATTGTCTAACAAATTGAAATCCACTCTGAGTTACAAATAGAAAAGAAGTTTATTAGACTTCACAACAAAGTCTAGAAAAAATAAAGGTTTGCAAAGCGTGGTGGATTCAGGAAGGCAAAATGCAATGTAGCCAAGCACTGAACCACACCCCAAATTCCAAAATCACATATTATTATACATCCTATCGCGACGCCCCATTCCCTCCCCCATGGCCCCATTGGCTTAGGCTTTGGAGGTTACAATCTATCAGAAGCGCCTAAACAGAATACATTAGACTAATAAGATCCCTCCCCTACTATCCTATATCAATTCTAGAGGATAAATGTCTCCCATCTTCTACACCTGTTAGATCAAGTAGGGGTACCAGGCACCAAAAGGTACTTAAAAACAATTCCTAGATGGTGACTCACACTGGGCCCCACAGTAACTCCTGTCCTCCCCCCTTCCTCCACCTGAGGCTTGTATGTTCCCTATATACTCAAAGCATCTACTCAGGCAATTGATTATACAATGATAATTATAAAATATAAAATATGATTACATGATAATACTAAAAGCATATATATTTTTATTTTTAAATTTCCTCCACAGCAACTATCAATAAACTCTTATAAAAACTCCTGCTAATTTACCGCAGTGTTTCCCATTTTCCAGATGTGTGAGCTTCTATTCCCGGAATCCTTCACAAGGGCCATTCTGGCTGGAGAACCCTGGAAGTTGAAATCCGCCAATCTGGAAGTTACTCATGTTGGGAAACGCTGGAATAGAGCAGGGGCCATCCACACAGGAGATCAAAAAAGCAAGATGGTAGCCATGTCTGGGGAGCAAAGCCCTACCTCTTTTTAGATGCATGGACACATGTAAAAAAGAGGTAGTGCTTCAGTTGCTCAGGCATGGTAGCCAACTTGACGTTTTGATAAAAAATGATTAAATGACCAACAAAGAATCATAATAATTGTACCTAATCTAATAAGAGATCTTCTCTCAATTGCCTTTAGTTCTTACGTCCAGGTGAGTTTGAGGTCCTCCTGACCATCCCTCTTCCAGATTGCACACAATACATGGAGGTAGAAGGTTACAGAGGCCTCTTCTACACCTTGTCCCTCTTGAAGAAGTCCCATGACTTCCCAGCAACTTTTCTCCTGGAAGATGGAAGAACCATATCCCCGAGGAACATCACAGAGGAATTCTGGAAGCAGGTCAATGCGTTCATTGACGTTGCTTATTCAGGTGAGATTTCCAGGTGGGACAGCAAGGGCAATACAGGTAGACCTCAAGTTACAATTGAGCCCCAATTTTCCATTGCTAAGGTCATAAGTACGCCCTCGGAGGTCTGTTGTAATTTCAAACCGTCGTTAAATGACTGGTCATAAATTGAGGACTACCTGTATTGGGGGAGGTACCTAGAAGGAGAAGAGAAGGAAGATGCATGTCAACGCTGCTAATATTGAATATTCTTGCTTTGACAAAATATGCAGAACTGTCTGGTATTTTTAGAGTTAATTCAGATGGGGAGGGAGGGGAAATAACAAAAGCCCGGGAAAAGGAACGGAAGTGAATCTCTGCCCTCTGGGCTAATTGGAAGATGTGACTTGTGACTGCAAGGTAGTAATAGTAATAGTAGTAAAGTTGGACGGGACCTTGGAGGTCATCTAGTCCAACCCCCTGCTCAGGCAGGAAACCCTACACCACAGGTCGGCAACCTGCGGCTCCGGAGCCGCATGCGGCTCTTTGAGCCTTCCCCTGTGGCTCCCAGCCTCCTCTGCCTTTGCAGAGAGAGACAGAGACAGAGAGAGGCACTTGCGCTTCCCTGAGAGACAGAGAGAGGCAATTGCGCTTCCCTCTCTCTCTCTCTCTCTCTCTCTCTCTCTCTCTCTCTCTGTGTGTGTGTGTGTGTGTGTAAAAGACAGTGCACTCACAGTGTTCTCCGAGGAGCTGAAAAGCTTAATGGGCGGAGCTCCTCCCTTTGCTGCGTCTCTGCAGGAAGCAGGAAGGGCAGGAGAGAGCTAGCTAGCCCAGCTAGGCTGACTCAGGAATTCTGGGAGTTGAAGTCCATGAGTCATAAAAGAGACGAGGTTGCCTGCCCCTGATCTTGTTGGACAACAACTTGAAGCTTGCCAGGTGAGCAGCAGATAGGAGAGGGGGGGAGAGAGAGAGAGAGAGAAAGAGAGAGAGAGAAAGAAAGAGAGCGGGGGAAGAGGAGTGGCAGACCAACGGCAGATAGAGAGGGAGAGAGAGAGAGACAGAGAGAGAGAGAGACCCTTTTGACATCTAAAATGAAGATAACACTGCATATATCCTTTTTTTACCTGTGTGTGTGTGTGTGTGTGTATATACATACATACATACATACATATACATATATATATACACACACATACACATACATACACACACAAAATACCCCCCCACACACAAACACACACACTTATAATAAAGATAAAAAAGGATATATGCAGTGTTATCTTCATTTTAGATATCAAAAGGGTTTTGCGGCTCCCAGTGTTTTGTTTTTGGTGGGAAACGGGTCCAAGTGGCTCTTTAAGTGTTTTGGGTTGCCTACCCCTGCCCTACACCATTTCGAACAAATGGCTGTCCAGTCTCTTCTTAAAAACTTCCAATGTTGGAGCACTCACCACTTCTGGAGGCAGGTTGTTCCACTGGTTAATTGTTCTCACTGTCAGGAAGTTTCTCCTTAGTTCTAGGTTGCTTCGCTCCTTGATTAGTTTCCACCCGTTGCTTCTTGTCCTGCCTTCAGGCGCTTTGGAGAATGGCTTGACTGCCTCTTCTTTGGGGCAGCCCCTGAGATATTGGAATACTGCTATCCTGTCCCCCCTCGTCCTTCTCTTCGTTAAACTAGACATATCCAATTCCAGCAGCCATTCCTTATATGTTTTAGCCTCCAGTCCCCTAATCATCTTTGTTGCTCTTCTCTGTACTCTTTCTAGAGATAAGGGAGAGGTTTAGCAAGAAAAGTTAGATGCCAGCGAGAGGAATTCAGATTCTGGCATAAACCTCCATGATGTGCCATCAATTTGTAACACTGGTAATAAAGGCTTTAGGACAGTGGTTCTCAACCTTTCTAATGCCGCGACCCCATAATACAGTTCCCCGTGTTGTGGTGACCCCCAACCACTTATACATCACCGGGTGCCAGGGGCGTGGCCAAAGAAAAGGGGGGGAAAAATGGCAGACAGCCTTGTTTGGCGACCCCCGTGAAATGGTCGTTCGACCCCAAATGGGGTCCCGACCCACAGGTTGAGAACCACTGCTTTAGGATAAACGTCTGGAAGTTCTTTGAAGTGTTTCATTAGTCGGAACCATGACAATGCAGCAATACCTTTCATTCCATATTCCATCTTACCTCGCATGCACACTTTACCCGAGGTGCAGACTCCTCTATTTTGCTCCACTTGCAATCTCTTGGGGGGGGGGGGGACGCTGTCATATTCACCTGATGAACTATCCGCCTGCTGTCTCAGTGCCTTTCCCAGGTTGGCAGGTGAAGCTGGAGAAGAAGAAGGCCAACAGTCCCAGGGTTAACCTGGTCGTGCTGGATGACTGTGGTGCCATGTTCATGACCATGAACCTCGTCCCTCTTCTGGAGTTTACTGGCCAGGGGCCATTTGCAAAACAGGCCAGAGAATTGACGGAGGAGAACCTTGTGGCACATCTGATGAAGAGGTTTTATTTTGCTGCCGAACAGTGTCCGGGGAGACATAATAAAGGTAACAAATCCCTGGGGACCTCAGTTGGAGCTCAGGAAAGATTTTTCTTTTTCATCCAGTAAAATAGTTTTGTAAAAATGCTAGACAAATTTTGCCAGCCTGCCAAAAAAAAAAAAAAAAATAGAATCAGAGAGTTGAGAAAGAAGCGGAGGTAGTCCTCATACAATCACAATTGAGCTCAACTTTTCTGCTGTTAAGCAAGGCAGTGAGTTTTGCTCCCTTTTATGACTTTCCTTGCCCCTGTTGTTAAGTGAACACCGCAGTTGTTGAGTTAATAAGATAGTTGTTAAATAAATCTGGCTTCCCCACTGACTTTGCTTATCAGGAGATCGCAAAAGGCGATCACATGACCGTAGGACAGGGGTAGGCCACCTTGGCTCTTTTATGACTCGTGGACTTCAACTCCCAGAATTCCTGAGCCAGCCATGCTGAGGGGAAAGGGAGAGGTTTCCAAGCTGAGCCATGCTGGCTCAGGAATTCTGGGAGTTGAAGTCCACCAGTCATGAAGGGGCCAAAGTTTCCCTCATGCTGGCTCAGGAATTCTGGGAGTTGAAGTCCACGAGTCACGAAGGGGCCAAAGTTTCCCTCATGCTGGCTCAGGAATTCTGGGAGTTGAAGTCCACGAGTCATTTCCCTCATGCTGGCTCAAAGGGAAAGTCCACGAGTCATAAAAGAACCAAGATTGCCTACCCCTGCCTTAGGATATTGCAACCATCAGAAATATGAGTCAGTTGCCAAGCATTTGAATTTTGACTGTGGTGATGCCGCCATGGAATGTGAAAAAAAGTCGCCATGTAAACTTTTTTAGTGCCATATAAACTTTAAACTTCACTAAATTAATCTTTGTTTAAGTCGAAGGTTACCTGTACTGAGAAACTCATTTCTCCTTTAGTAGCTCCGTTAATGTTTTATCTCAAATCTGGGATATCAATCTCAGTCTTATACATACAGATAGTCCTTGACTTATGTTGCTTAGCAACCGTTCAAAGTTACGATGGACCCTTGAAAAGCTACTTATGACCCAGTTTTTAAGTTTCAAATTTGGTCCCTCGCATGATCACGAGTGCATTTTGGGCACTTGGCAACTGACTTGCATTTTGGCTGTTTGCCAAACCACAATTTATGACAGTTTTGCCAGACACTAGCTTCTACTTCTGACAAAACTCGCCCCGTAGCAAACAATGGCTTTGCTTAATGGCAGATTGTATAGATTTCAGCACCTGTCTGTCTCTCTCCCGTTGTATTCAATATATGTATATATTTCAGAAACATGGAGAATTTCCTTCTCTCATGTGGAAAAAGAGATTTTGTACCACCACAGCACTCCTCCAGCATGCTACAGACACCATGGGTCAAAATGCTGCAGGTATGTGTGTCTAGATTACCTTACATCAGGGGTCTTCAAACTTGGCCCTTTTATGACTTGTGGACTTCAACTCCCAGAATTCCTCAGCCAGACACGCATGCCTGGCTGAGGAATTCTGGGAGTTGAAGTCCACAAGTCATAAAAGGGCCAAGTTTGAAGACCCCTGCCTTACATAGTCTAAGTTGGCCTGAATTTGCTGAAGATACCTTTGAGTCAGACCCCAAAAATATTTTGATTGCATCACCCTGTTGGGATGATGATCAAGTTCAGCCTTTCCCAACCTGGCATCTTTCTGGGGTGTCATGTCATTTCTCAGAATCTCTAGCCTTATGGTCGCCACAATATAAAAAAAGAGGTTGAGACTCTAGAAAGAGTGAGAAGAGCAACAAAGATGATTAGCGGACTGGAGGATAAAATGTAGGAAGAATGGTTGCAGGAATTGGGTAGGTCTAGTTTAATGAAAAGAAGGACTAAGGGTGACATGATGAGGGGTTGCCACAAAGAAGAGGAGGGGTCCAATTATTTTCCAAAGCACCAGAAGGTAGGATAAGAAGCAACGGATGGAAATTAATTGAGGAGAGAAGCAACCTAGAACTAAGGAGAAACTTCTTATAATAATAATAATATTTTTTTTTATTTGCAGTCACGGACCAAAATACAAGTGCAACAAAAGAAAACACAAGAAAAATACTATCACAAACAGTTAACACCAGAAGCCTTGGCTAAGGGGAATTATAACGTTCTCCTCTGATAGTTACAGCTCTTAAAAGAAATTTAGAAATCTGAGAAGTAATATAGGAGGAGCAATCCCCTAGGCCTAGACAATATAAGACCAAATTACTAACATTAGAACCAGAGGGATCAATTCCAAGGAGAGACAATAATTTAATTCTGGCTGTGTTATACATAGGGCATTATGATAAGACATGCTCCACAGTTTCAACTTCAGCCCTATCACAGGGGCATAGTCGCTCACTAAATAGGAGCCTTTTGAATCGCCCGTCGAGTAGTGCTGAGGGCAAGACATTGAAAAGGGCTAGGGAAAAGACAGGAGAAACTTCTTAACAGTGAGAACAATTAACCAGTGGAACAGCTTATCTTCAGAAATCGTGGGTGCTTCATCACTGGAAGTTTTTAAGAAGAGACTGGATAGCCATTTGTTTGAAATGGTGTAGGGTTTCCCGCCTGAGCAGGAGGTTGGACTTGATGACCTCCAAGGTCCCTTCCAACTCTGTTATTCTGTTATTCTAGAGGAGCATTAGATTATAAGAAGCTAGAAGATTATGTGGCAGCCCTTCTACCAATGAATCCATGACATCTCCACTCCCAAATCACCATGATAGTTTAGGAAAACCTGGAATAGAATTAGAGTTGAATTGTGATGTTTTCTTTTTTTAATGTTCCAGGAATGATTGCCTGAAGATGCTACAAGATCTGGTGGATTCCCTTAAGATGGAACACCCGCTGATGTTGGCTCCACTGAGTTCTCACCACCTTCAGATGTCCTTTCTGCACACTCTCTGGAAGTGGAAGGCTGACACCGATTGGAAACCCTCAGACGTCGCTTACTGCTTTGAGAGAGTCCTGGGCAATTTCATTCAGGAGGTGGCCTCTGCTCACCTCAGCCATTTCTTTCTCCCTACTTGCAATCTGTTTGCGGCAAAGCTCTTCCCGCCCACTAAACTGAAGTTCCTGTGCTGTCATCTGAAAGAGAAAGAAGCCATTGCCAAGACATCCCATCAGAAAAGTTACCCTGCTCTGGCTGTGCGTTCTGACACGACATGGCCACACTGGGCTGCTCTCAGTTGTTCTCCCTAATGTGGCAGTTTAACCCACATTTCTTTTGCTCCACTGGGCGCCTTCTTTGTTAGTGACCGGGTCATTTAAGCCAATCCAGGTGATTCACAGGTTTTGCAATTGCAGCAGGTCCAAAGAAGGATTCTTTATGGACTTCTAGAGGGCAACTCTGAGCATTTTGTAAAATCCATAAATCTTTTCCATTCATTTCCAGTCACATTGTCTGTTGAGAATACTAACACTCATCCCACAAAAGGCCAAATATTACATCTCAAGTGATGACGGCAGGCAACCTCTTCGGATATTTTGTATTGCAGTTCCCATCATTCACGATGGCTGCTCGTTCTGCAAGTGGCTGATGAGAGCTGATATCCTAAAACTCAAAGGTGGGAAGGGCTGTGGCACATCTTCCCATTACAATTTGATTTACAAAAGTAGGCAACGACGAAACATACTTTGAGCTTCAGGGGAAAACCTATTCCAAAATAATGCACCAATTCATTATTCTTAGCCAACTGGGAACTAATTTTGTTCTCCCTTGAACTAGAACAGGGGTAGGCAACCTCGGCTCTTTTATGACTCATGGATTTCGATTCCCAAAATTCCTGAGTCAGCATAGCTGGGAGTTGACATCCATGAGTCATAAAAGAGCATTGGGTGCCTACCACTGAACTAGAAGTTGCTGCCAAGGAATGTTGATTGATGCTTCGATGTCTTTTTGATGTACATTTCATTATGTACCAATCTTGTTCCCTCTGGTGCCCTCTTGATGTTCCAGGACTACCACTCCCAGAATTCTCTGCCAGCTTATCAGGGGGTGCCAGTCTGGCGTTTGTATTTCTTTTGAATCTTGAGTTTTAAGCTGAGCTTTAGGGCAGAAGCACACTAAATTCAAGTGGCTTTACCCCACCACCACCACCACCTCTACTAATACCAACAGCAAAATTGCAAATGTGTGAATGGCTGGCTGGAGAATTCTGGAGTTGAGGTTACCGAGTTTGGGGATCCATGGTTTAGATCATTGCTTCTTTTGTTCGTTTGTTTGTTTTCCTCGTTTGGTGGAATAGCCAAGTTAACGAGGGGCACACAGTTTGTTTTTCATGTTCTTGTTGTGGTTTTCGATACGAATTGCTGCAATAGTTTTTGTGTTCTGAAGAAATCTGTTCAATTCTTTCTTCCCCTGTCTGAAAATACACTTTTTTCTCCTCAAAAGCTGAACTGGCAGTTGCATTTTTTGTCTATTGCAATCTTTCTACCAAAATATTCAAACGGATGTAAATTGCTCATCACTTTCTTTTTCTTCTTTTCTCCTCCTATCAAATGGGTCTTCCAGACTTCTGGAGGATTGTGAAGCACCATCTGGAGTTGTGCAAAAGTTTGATGGAAGTTGAGAGACAAAACCATACATTCTCACTTTCAAAAAATGCCCAAATACAGTGCTGAAACGATGGCCATCTCTGGAAAGCAAGAGATGGTTTAGACTGGAAAATGATGACCAGCTCAAGATCACCCAGTGAATTTCATGGCAGCTCCAGTCAAAAAGAGGCAACAGCAAAGATGCTTAGCATTGAAATCGTGGGTGCTCCATTGCTGGAAGTTTTTAAAAAGAGACTGGACAATCACCTGTCTGAGACGGGATAGGTCCTCCTGCTTGAGCAGGGGGCTGGACTAGAAGACCTCCAAAGTCACTTCTATTTCCATTTCTTCTTCTTCTTCTTCTTCTTCTTCTTCTTCTTCTTCTTCTTCTTCTTCTTCTTCTTCTTCTTCTTCTTCTTCTTCTTCTTCTTCTTCTTCTTCTTCTTCTTCTATTCTATTCTATTCTATTCTATTCCATTCCCTGGAGCAATGTTTCTCAACCATGGCAACTTTAAACTGGGCGGAATTCAACTCCCAGACTTCCCCACCTAGTAACGCCCCACTGTAATGCCCCATGCTGGTTGGGGGAATTCTGGGAGTTGAAGTCCACACAGTTTGAATTCGCCAAGGTTGAACCTCTTGGTCCCCGGCTTTAACTGACGGGTAGGGTGCAGTGCTTTCTCCCTACCTTCAGAGGGCAGTGCGGCGTCGATCCCGCCTCTCTAGGGGAACCCCTCTGTTTACGAACTCACTGCCTTGACTCGGGCTCTATGGCAGTTTCGCCTGACCGGCCGCATTAAGATCCACTTCCGGAGCTCTCGCGCTCTTTTCCACGCCTCCAAAATGTCGGTGAGTAGTAATTGTGCTGTAACGGCTCCGTGAGTCGCCTTAAATCCATCTCCATCCTGATTGATCCGAGGCTTCTCGGCCAGGGCTCTGTGCCAGCGGGACAGGGAAGGATCGGGGCCTACTTTGAGGGGATTATGGGAAGCGGCCGGCGGAGATTCCTGCGCGGATGAAACGGTGTAGAACAATGTCTGGCCCCCTTGTCCAGGCCGGTTAAAGATTTAATTCCCCATCTCGGCCTTTCTGTGGAATTGATCCTCCGCGAGAGAGGCGCTTCTTCCCCGTCCCAAAACTGCTGGGCCTAGCCGTGCTTTTTCCAGCTAAAAGACAACTGTGGCCGGGTTCCCACGACCTACCGAACTTAGTTTAGCAAGTTAATCGGGGTGTGTCTGTATTTCTGGGTAGTAATGCAGGTTCGGTGAATTCAGGGCCTTTGCTTAGGAGGTGGTGTAGTGGATTTTGTGGGGCTGTGCGTGCAAGTCCAGAAAACGTGTATATTCAATTAAGGGGTTGTGTGAACAGAGGTTTTTTTTCTTTATATGATCAGCCGGTGGCTAACTCCCGTATCGCTCCTTCTTGAGGATAGTCTGAAATGCAGTACTTATTATTTCATGCCTTGGGAAAGCGTCCTTCGTTAAATTAACTCTCAAATGGCCAGCACGAATTGCCCACTGCCTGGTAACTATAATGTCAGCCTGATGTTAAGAGGAGTATTATTAAATCTGTATTCCACCAAAACTTTAATATCACAGGAGTTTACAGCAGTGTAGAAATGCAATTTAAAAATCTCTGCTAAGGTAGTTTTTATCTTCCTGGGCTCCAAGATCACAGCAGACGGGGACTGCAGCCAAGAAATTGCTCCTGGAGAAGAAAAACTATGGCAAATCTAGACAGCATACAAAAAAGCAGAGACATCACCCTGTCAACAAAAATACGTATAGTCAAGACCATGGTTTTCCCAGTTGCAATGTATGGCTGTGAAAGTTGGACCATAAGAAAGGCTGAGCACCAAAGAATGGAGACCTTTGAACTATGGTGCTGGAGAAGACTCCTGTGAGTCCCCTGGACTGCAAGGCGATCCAACCGGTCAGTCTTAGAGGAGATCAACCCCGACTGCTCTTTAGAAGGCCAGATCCTGGAGTTGAAACTCAAGTACTTTGGCCACCTAATGAGAAGGAAGGACTCACTGGAGAAGAGTGTAAGGCTGGGAAAGATGGAGGGCAAGAGAAGAAGGGGACGACAGAGAATGAAATGGCTGGATGGAGTCACTGAAGCAGGAGCGTGAGCTTAAAGGGACTCCAGAAGATGGTAGAGGACAGGAAGGCCTGGAGGAACATTGTCCATGGGGTCGCGATGGGTCGGACACGACTTCGCAACTAACAACAACAGAGTGTGAAAAACGGTCATAAGTCACTTTATTCAGTGTGGTTGTAACGTTGAAAGATCACTATACAAACTATTGTAAGTCGAGGTCTAGCTGTACTTTTTAAAGCTGAGGATGTCAGTAATTGAACTCAGCCTTGTGCATCCAAAACATGTTTTATGCAATAGAGTTATAATCTCACCCTACTGATTCATTCAAGCGTGAGTTAATGAGTTGTTTTTATTTTTGAAGAATAGTGCTAATATTACTAGTTACGAAGGTTATTTTCATTCACGCATCTTTTAGATTGCTCCAGTCCTGTGGTATTTCTGTTTGGGTATAAGCTAAATCATAACTTGCACTGTGGGGGACTACGGGGACTTTGTGAATTTCCACACAGCACTGTAATTGTTTTTCTTATTCAAGGTATATTCGGGGGGGGGGCAGGGGGCCCTAACCTGTGACTTATAATTAGAGCTAAAAATTAGTGCATTAAACCCCTGCTTTAAGTAGCTACCAACAAATTAAATAGAAATTCAGTTTTTGAAACTGGAACACCAAGGTTTAGGAGCTATTTAGTCAGTACTTTGTTCTGTGTGGTGCTTCTAAATCTGCTCTGCATTCTACGATATCAAGACTGTGATTTGTGCAGACAAAGAAATACGGGGATTTCTATGCGATTTTGAATTGACTACTATGTTAATAACTCCTACCTGGTACTAATTGTGGTTCCCTCTCCCCTTAGCCTACTAGTAGGTAGATTGGCAGATTGAAGCTGGAGAGTTACAGTCATAATCGATAGCTGAAAACTACTATGGGAAAGAGTGGGGTAACCACGGAGGCATTTAAGGCAGAGGTCCTCAACCATTTGGGCACCAGGGACCGGTTATGTGGAAAGAGATTTTTCCGCGTGGTTTTGTGTGTTGCCTGCATCCCACAGATGGGGCTTTACTTGTTTGTGTGGCCCGGTTGCTGGCATGCCACGGCCTGGAACCAGTCCACGGACCGGGGGTTGGGGACCCCTGATTTAAGGTGTTATGCTGTATTTGTAACATAAAACCAAAAATAGCCTTGCCAGTCTCAAGAAAGCAAATCCCTGTTCCATGTGTTGCTCCTTGTTCCAGAGTACGTGTGATGAGAATAAGACTGGGCTGTTTCTGCCATAACCACAACCCCCCCCCTTTTTTTCCCCTGCCATTTTGCAGCAACAAGACCAGGGTGAGAAGGAAAACCCCATGAGGGAGCTGCGCATTCGCAAACTCTGCTTGAACATCTGCGTTGGAGAGAGTGGGGACAGGCTCACGCGAGCAGCCAAAGTGTTGGAGCAGCTCACAGGACAGACCCCCGTCTTCTCGAAAGGTAAATTTGGTCAAAGGCGTCGACTGAGCTACAAGAACTAGCAGCCTTCTGATCAGCCTCCTCTTTGCTCAACTACCTGCCTTCGTTGAATTGCCAGCCTTCACCAAGCTGGTGGTAGAAGCTTTGGTTTAGCCCTGGGTTGGGAAAGATTATTGTAGAACACAAAGAGTCGTGAAAATAACTCCAGAATCATTTGAGGTTTTCCTCTATGAGATTCCAAATATTTGGGGTGGTCATGCTGTGAGGACTTTGTTTAGCGTCATGATCTGGTGTAAATAAACTTTTTGACTTAGGCTCAGATTCCTTCCTTGTCAGAAATCAAGAAACAGGCTAAAGCACCTCACAGCTCTGTGGACCTCCAAATTGGGTTAATTTACTAGAATCCACATGTTGCATTTATTTTTTACAATGCCCATTTTTTATTTTCTTAACTGTATAAAATGTATTTTACATCTTCAAATTGTATGCGTAGCTTGTAAGCTGCCTTGGGACAATTGTTATTCCAAAAGGCAGCGTAAATAATTTTGGTAGATGAATATTGGGGCCCAGCCTCCAACAGAGGATACTTTTAATTGCCGGTCTCATTTCCAGACATCTTTTCAACAATGAGGGCTTGAACTCTTAAAAATGGGAGCAGGATTCAAGCCAGCTTACTTGTATTATTGAGGATAGCATACCACATACCTTTATTTATTTCTTTAAAATAAATTTGCCGCTGAAGTGTTGTATTCACTTCTATCCACTTTGAGCCACTGGGAATAAGTAGGGAATGTAATGAACGAGCCAGTCCATTTTCTGTCCAGTGAGGAAAATGCACAAAGACAGCCTTTGCTGTTTTTCCACCTGAGCCTACAGTCTCATTATGTCAGCACTGCCAAGAATACACTAGTTTTGTTTTGTTTGTCCAATAACAATTGAGCTGGAAATACTTTGAGCTTTAAAGCACTTAATTATACCAAGCTTCTTTTGTCCTGAAATGGACCATTATGTGAGGACGCCTGTGACCTTCCCCAACCTGGTGCCTTCCAGATGTTAAGATACCCCAGTAGGTGACATTTGAGATAGGATCCCATACATCTGGAAGGCTGCAGACTGAAGGCTGATCTGAGCTGTTGACTCAGGAGGCCTCAGCTGAAAGTTGGATTTGGGATTTCCAATTTGTTTTTGTATGTTTGCTGAAGTCTGCTTTCTGCTTATTTTTCTGACTTCAACATGCCTTATAAACCTGGGTTTGTTTTGCAGCTCGATACACCGTTCGGTCTTTTGGGATTAGGAGAAATGA